ATCAGGGGGAAATTTTTTGATCCCTCCCTCCCTCCTGTCTTTAGCACAAATTTAAAAATAAGCATATCTTTTTGCTGTATTTCCTCCATGAAAGGTTAATTCTTGTTGCCATTACTTTTATGGTATAACTCTGAGGTTCCAGATTCACCTTGGGGGTCTCCTCTTAGACTTTGCATCTTGGGAAGGCCCTAGACTTATCTCTTGTGCCTACCTCACTGTGTAGCCAACAAAATAACAGTTCTAGGTCACCAGGGCACAGACAGGTCTACGTAAAGATATGATTATAGCTGATTACAGCACTTGCTTACCTCCCAAGGTTTCTATTTTCACTCAACTTTTGGCTTTTCTAAATTCTTTTCATTCTTGTCAAAGTGGCAATGCATTTAAAAAGTTTTAAATATTTTTTTAATCTAGCATTTTTTATTGTTTTAGAAGGAGAATGATTCAGGATATTTAGCTCACCATGTTCTTGGAAATGGAGTTCTATCAATATTCTTTTTAAAGGATCACTAACAGCCGAAACCATATATGAACACATATTGCATCTAACACAGTGCTAGGCATGTCATAGTTGCTATGATACCTCCCTTCTGCCTTCTTCCTTTATGTTCGTACATTTAACAGATATTTACTACCTGCCTTAGCCATTATAGTAAGTGCTTGAAGATCCATGTAAGACAGTATTTCCATTTGCAACACAGAGAAAATAGAAGCCTCCTGTGTGAATTATCTTCTCTTTCTCTCTGCCTCTAAACTTGCCATTTTAATGTTGGGCTTACAGATCATGCCCTAGTGAACGGCCATTTTTTTTCACTGATATCAAATCTCCTAACATAAAGCTGTATATGTTTTTCAAAGGAAAAAAATAATACTTAGAGAATTGTGATATTTGGTTTATGTAGGATTTAAAGATAAATAGGCATAGGTTTTCCTAGCGTTTGGATTATGACAGAAAGCAATATAAAAAATAAAAGAAGTTTCAATGTTTATTGTTTCAGGAGATTGTGATTACTCATCTCATACTCTGTATGGCAATAAATTGACTAAAGTAGGAAACTATTAATTTTTATTATTCTTAACTCCTTAGTCATGTGGCAATGTACAGAACAGCATTTTTGCTGAGCTCTAAACCAAAGTAGGGATAGTGGGGATAATGAGAAGAGGAAGGCTTAAGACATGTTAAGCAAGTAGAATCTATATGATTTAGTTGTATAGAGGAGATGAAGATGTTCTCGCTTACAGCCACTTTTCAGCACTTTAGATACAGCTAGCTGGGGTAGGCAACCCAGTTCATGGATATGAAGAACAGTTTAGCCATTACCAGAAGCAATGGTGTTAACCTGACAAGAGGCATCATGGCCTATTAGAAACAGTCACCATTATCCAAGTGTGTATCCAGGAAACACAGTCTCAAGAAGCTGAAGTTCTTGATCTTTCTGAAATTGAGATACGAACAATTGGTAGAATTGTAAAGGTGATAACGTTCTTTAAGGGAAACTAGCAGAATATGTCCCACATTTCATAAATATCTCAATAGCCTTGAAAGACGGTGGAAACTCAATGCTGGTAAGAGAGCCTGCTTTCCTATGTGGGTGCTTTCCTCTGCATCCAGCTGGCATTTTCCGTCTAAAGCTAAGCAGTCAGTTTTAGAATCTCTTTAGTTGCCAGTATTTTTTTATCCGCTGATCTGAAAATATGCTTTATTCTAGAGGAGCAGTTTCTAATTTTTTTTGAAGTGTTTTCTTAATTTTTAAACTTAATATGTTTTGCATTCATTCACTCATTAAATGATTATTCAGTACTTAAGATGTGTCAGCCTCTTTGCTAGGCACTGGTGATACATTGATGAATAAAATGAACACAGTCCTTTTTCTTAGGGCATTTATACATATAAACATATAATTCTACAAAGATTAGAGTATACAAAGATGTAATTAAACATAAAGATTTATAATTATAATATGAACTATGGAGAAAAAAATATATAATATGTGCAGGGCTATTCTAATCTGGGGAAGGAGATAGAGAAAGCTTTCCTGGGGAAATGGCATTTAAGTAGGAGCTTGAAGTATTAGTTGGAAAGAGCCACATAAGTGGTAAAGGAGCAGAAGGGGCCAGAAAGTATGTCCAAAGGAATATTCAAGCAAACGGAAAGATAAATCTTGACTTTGGAAAGCCGTAGAGAGAGTCATATAAGAGGAGATGGGTTAAAGCAGTAAGGGCTTTGTAATCAGTGCTGATGTTGGATTTCATCTTAAGAAAATTGGAATGCATTTGAAGAGTTTTAAGCTGGAAAGTGACACAAATAGATTTGTTGTTTCATCAGTCTTTCAGGCTGGCTGTTCTGTGGAAAATGAAGAGTAGGGAAGCAAAATTTGAGGCAGGGTGACCTTTTAAGGGATGATACTGCCTTGAATTCAGAAAGTAGAAATGGATTTGGAGATAAACGAATAGATTCAAGAAATATTCAAGAGGTAGAATTGACAGAATTAGGTGATTGACTGAAGAACCCTCATAAATACAGGGTGCAATGTGGTCTGCTATCAGTGCAGTATTATATTAAAATAATTATTATTTTGGCAGAAAAATATAATTGGAAGCATTTCAGAGATTTACTTAGGCTCTTGAGGAAATGCCGAATATCTTTATGGTATTATTTTTAATGCACAGTAAAACTTTAAGAATCCTTTTTTTGCCACATCTCACTCTCCACGTCTTTCACACACTTAGGAAGAAACTTAAAAACAAAACTCTCGTCTCTTATTCATTCTATGTGTGTTATCAAAAGTCCCCCAGCATCTATCCGAAGTGGATTCTCATTGTACCTCAGTTCTTCATGATCAGAGTTTATCTAACCTTTCCAGCATCTGAAATCCTCCCTTTGCTCAGTGTTGGGAGGTTGCATAAGAGAGAAGAGCTCAAAACAAATTCGGCAAGCAAAAGCAGCAGAAAGTTGCAAAAATATGGCTATTTTTGTTGCTGTTTCTCTGCTGCACTTAAAATGTTTTCTGTGAGGAAGTGAAATGTGTATATTCCAGTTTTGAACAAATGGATAGATGGGAGGCCATTTATGGAGATTAGGGAACATAGGAAAAAGATTTTGAGGAAAAGATGAGATCATGTGAACATTTTGAGTCTAGGCTGCCTTTTAGATCGTCTAGGAGAGCTGTCCTGGAGCAATGGTGGGCTGAGAGCTGCCTTGTACTGCCTTACAAAAGTCAATTGTTAAATTTTTGAGAATTTTAAACATAGTCATTATTAAAAATTAAATTGTATAAATGTACAATTAAATATCTAAATATGTTACATTAAAAAACAGATACTCATCACCACCTACATTTTTACTCTTATTTATGAGGTTATATATATGGTGCAAATACTATCTCACAGCATGCTGCGTACATTTCTTGCCTTTAGTGGTGTCAGATTGGTAGCTGGAAATCAGCCATATTTGTAGTATTTAAACTACAAAGGTGGCAAATGCTATGAATCAAGGCCTTTCCCAACCTGAAAACCAGTAGTTAAACATTTATCACTACATCACTGGATAAATTTGTCTGGGCTCTGGAGACAAATCTTAGCTGGAAATGCTGTTGTGGGAGTTATCAGAATATAGATGTGGGGTGGCTTCATGGACCGGCAACAGGGCCCTACACTAAACAAGGACCGGGTGGGTCCTTGGTTTAATGCTCTGCTGGCACCATCTTAAAATTCTTAATTTTCAAACAAGGGGACATGTGTTTTCATTTTGCACTGGGCTGGTCTTGGTTGTAGAGAATATGAGCTGTTATGAGGGTTGCTTGATTTACTGCTTTCCATCTCTCAAAAAAAGTATTTTGTTTCATTCACCTGCCGGGTAGAGCATTTGCACAGATATGTTCTCCATACATTTCTTCAACCAGTGTATCTTCACAACCAGTTCATAAAATTTCCTTCTTCTAGTTTTGCCATAATGTTTTCTTTGCTCTTCTTTTGAAAACTGTTAACTTTCAATGCATAAATACTTTAAGTAACTTTAATAAAGATCTTTCTATCCAGTTTGCAGTGTCCCACACACTCACTGACTTTTCAGTTTGCTATCACATGGCAGTTAAAGCGATTTCCAGAATCACAGAGGACTGGGTTTGAATTTTTGCTGTGACCTGAGGCAGGTTTCTTTGGTTTCTCTACATCTGTTTCCTCATCTGAGAAGAGAATGTTATTTACCTGAGAAGGTTATCATAAACATCAAATTTGCACATGACACATAGTAGCAAGGTCGCAGAAGGAATAAATAGAACGCTGGCAGAGATGAGCTGGAAGATTCCAACTTTTTAAAAAGAATTTTCCTGGTCCCATAATATGTATGTCCCAGAGTGAATTGGCTAAATCACCTCTTCGTATTCTCAAACTTCTCTTCCCTATCTTATACACTCATCTAATCTACACACACAGCATGGATATGGGCCCTTGGGCACAGATAGCCATATAGCCATTAAGCCTTATTGAGGCTATGAAAAACTCTTTTCTCAACATAAAGCTAGGCATGCGGTAAGGACTCAAAATACTTCAGGCTATTCTCTTCACCACTGTATCCCCAGCTCCTACCTAGCACAGTGCTTGGCACACACTTGGAGTCCATTTATAAGATGCCCGCACAATAATGCCACAGGGCTTCCCTTCAGCCCCCAAACCTCTCTACTTTTTTCTACCCTAGGCAGCGGCAAAGCCCAGGGGCCCAGGCGCGCGCCAGGCCCAGTTCACGAACCCTGCTCCCCGCGCGGCTGCAGTTGCTATGGAAACGGCGGGACCTAACAACTCCATTCCCCGCGGGGTGAGTCGGGCCCTCGGAGGCGACGGCAGCGGCAGGAGCAGCGGGAGCGACGCGCGGCGCAGCCGAGGTCACCGCGGAGCCAGCAGAGCCCCCGCCCCGCCCGGCGCCCCAACACTCCCCCACGGGCCCCGAGCGTCGGTAGGGACCCCTCGTGGCCCCGCCCGGGCTCTCCTGCGCGCGCCGCCCGCCGTGTTGAGACTGTGCCCCCGAGAGCTTGGCCGCCGGGCGCGGACCATGGGGAGGGGCGAGGAGTCCCGGACGCCCCAAGTCTCCTGTCTCTCAATGTACCTTAGACGTTCTTTTGTCGGCAAAGAAGAATTTGGGCAATTCCAGCCAGAATCTTAATTGCTTTAATTTGGGAGATTTAGAGGCGAGGGAGCAAGGAGAGAAGAGAAAATAAAGCCTTTTGCAAAGAGCCACACAAACATGATGTGAGAAATTGAGTTTCATCATCTTTTAAACATGTGTGTGTGTGTGTGTGCGCGCGCACGTGTCCGCGTGTGTCTCCCACCTTTCCTTCCCGCGCCCACGCGGCCCGCGAGTGTAAAGCGCTGCTGCTGTCCCAGGTGGTCACACCTGGACTGCCCGGCGCGTGAGAACAGGGGCGGTGCGCACGGCGGGCGCTGATTGGCCGTGCGGACCCCAGTGAAGTGCTTGATCGTGCACCGTGAGCCCTGCCGCCGTGGGGGTCTCCACGGGGCGCACGCCTGGCGCTCGGCCGTTGCTCGCTGTGACCCGTGGTTTGTCTGTTTCCTGTCCTTTCGGCAGGTGAATCATCGTGTGCGGTGAGGCAGCGGGGCAGCGCGGCCCCTGAGCGCAAGCCAGCAGCGTCGGCGAGAGGATGAGTGGCACCGGAGCCAGGGCCGGGCACCGCGCCCAGCCGGTGGTCAAGAGCGTGCTGGTGTATCGTAACGGGGACCCCTTCTTCGCGGGGCGCCGCGTAGTCATTCACGAGAAGAAGATGTCTAGCTTCGACGTCTTCCTGAAGGAGGTCACGGGTGGCGTCCAGGCTCCCTTTGGGGCCGTCAGGAACCTCTACACTCCGCGGACCGGGCACCGCATCCGGAAGCTAGACCAGATCCAGAGCGGAGGCAACTACGTGGCTGGGGGCCAGGAAGCTTTCAAGAAAATAAAGTGAGTCGGTCGATCCCACCACCCACCATTTCAGGGTGCGTGAAGTTGTGCGATTGGAATCAGGACCCAAACCTCAGGGAGTCGAGGGGCTGTGACTGTGCGGGTTGATTCCTCTCTAAGCCCCCGCAGCAGCTGGGGTTAGAAGTTGAAAGCTTGACTGGAGGAGTTTCACTTGTATAGCAGTAAGAACAGACTTAAAATTGTGTATAAGAAACAGGAATCCTAAAAAAAGAGAAATGACCAAACTGATACTTGAGTATTTTCTGTTTTATCTCTTTCCTCTTTTTTGCTTTTCCTCCTCTTTTTTCTTGGAACTCGTCTTTTTAGTTAAAATCATTTTAAAGTATTGGATACTATATAATCACCAGAGGATAAAACTGCTCTCTGCAATCTCCCTCCTCCCCACCCCCCCACACACACTGTTTAAATTTTTTCAACTTTTCGTTCCAAGTAGAACTGACCACGCCCCACTGTGACCCACCTACCACCCTCTGCATGTTTAAGCTATTGACATAATGCTTGGAAAAGTTTATTGACTTACTGTATGTCTACATGTTTGTTTCTCGGTACCTAGTAGCTGGACCGTCAAAGACAGGGGTCATTATTGTGGCTCATCCCGAGTTCCTGGCAGAGAAGTCACTCAGAATAGGTGTTCAGTGAATTAGCAAACTGTGCTTAGGTCTGTGAAGGGAACAAAGAAGAACAAGATATGACTCCTTGTCTTTCTTCAAGAGTTCATAGTCTAACAGGAGAAAAACTACATGCACACCAGTAATTTTAACGTAGAGTACAAAGGAATAAGTGCAGTTAGAAAAAATTAAAATTATGTGGGAGTTCAGAGTTGACAGATTATTTCTGGAAGGGGTGGGTATTGTAGGACAGGTAGAATTTAATAGTCCACAGGTTTTCTTTACAGCTTTATGGAGATATAGTTCACATAGCATAAACTTCCCCCATTTCAGTGGGTTTTAGTGTGTTCACGGAGTTGTGCAACCATCACCACAAACTAATGTTAGAACATTTCCATTACTCTTGTACCTCCTAGTTTCCCCTTCTCCCCATCCTCTGGTAACAAATAATCTACTCTGTGTTTCTATGGATTTGTCTATTCTGGACATTTCATATAAATGGAATTATACAACACCTGGCCTTTTGTGTTTCTGTATTCTTTTACTTAGCATAATATTTTCAAGGCTCATCCATGTTGTAGTATGTATATCAGTACTTCATTCTTTTTATTGTTAAATAATATTCCATGGTATGGCTATACCTCGCTTTGTTTATCCATTAATCAGTTGATGGATATTTGGGTTGTTTCACTTTTGGCTGTTATGAATAATGCCAGATAATCTTTTTATGAGAGGTAAGGGATGCATTAGAATTTAGTTTTCCCTTCCTTGAAACCTCCTTTAGTATGCTTTGTCTAACTTCATAGAAAGGAACTAGATGAAACTGTGCCTCAGAGAAACTTAGAACTTAAAACTGAAAATCAGGAGACTTGAGAGTGAGCTGTTTATTAGCTCCTTGGGCAACCCTCTTGACTCAGCTGGTTAGTTTCCTAATACAGAAGAGGAACATTCCTACCTCACAGGGTTGTGATAAAAGTAAATGCTATGGATGTGAACATTGTTTTGTAAACACCAAAATGTTACATACATGTAAAGCATTTCTGTGTCTACTTCCTTTTACCATTTACTTTATTTTTTATTAAATAATTTCTATATAAAGCAATTTCATGGGAATGGAAATCTGCTTCAGAATCTGTTAACGGTTCAAAATTATAGACCCACTTTTGTAATTCATATTCTCTTTTGTTTATTTGGCACTACCAACTGAAAAGATAAAAACAGGTACAGTTCCAACCCAAACAGAAAGTGCACTTCGAAATTATTCTTTATATATGTATAAGAGATTAGCATGGTTATTTTTGCTTTTAATTCATACACACACAAAATCGAGCTTCTTATAACAGTGTTCATGGTTAGTTTTCCATGTGACAGATGAATAGTTATTTATTTGTGTTAAAGTAATTGTATCTATGGTTAGAATGATAGAAGCCAAGATTTAAATCCTGAATATATTTTAAGTTTAGCTGTTGTAAGTTTATAAAACAAATAAAGCAACTGGCAGAACCAAAAAAAGCCCAAAAGATATCAAGGGTAATTTGTGTCATTTAGTGCCTAAATGATGTTGGGAAAGATAGCAGTGGTGGAAAAATATTTTTCAAATGAAAATGATCACTTCTTGAATTGATTTTAAAGACTTTTTTCTAATATTTTTGAAACCATAATTAAACTCAGGTAGCTATTAAACCTTTATTTTATAGCAGAAAATTCGAGATAGTTATTGTCTTTCTGCATTTTTGGAAGTCGACTCTACTGAATTAATCTTGTTGATCTGAAATCACTTTCCTGCGCATGACAGAATGTTTTTTTTTTTAAATGTCAAATCAGTCCTTGCAGATTTGTAAAAGAGCCATTTATTGCTATAACGAAGGAGTATTTGCACTATCTTATGTAAATACTGTTGATGTAAGGGAAACATGATAATTTTCAGAGGTATGCATTAACTAAAACATGCTATCCATAAAAGCAAACAACATTAATAAAACATATCCATAATTAATTGAATATAAACTTTTTTTGGCAACTCAGCAATTATGGTAGCTAAGGCAGAAAATCTATCTTTCTATCTAAGGTTGTAAATTAAAGGCTAGATTTATACTTATTTTTATATTAAAGCATTTATTTAGCATCTTCTATGTATGAAGCACGGTGGAACTAGATCACAGTGATGGACTTATAGCCTGCAGTTGACAAAGGTATAACATTTTCAGATTGTGCTTATGCTACAGCTAAAGAATTATCACTAGTTAATATCTGTAGCAAACAGTAATGGAATAATAGGGGTCTCTAGAGGTTAACTAGTCTACCCATCTGTCTGTTAGCTGAGCCAATGCCTAAACCATCCCACATGGCTGAGCACCTCTGTATTATTAAAGTGCTCTCAGAGGGAAAAAGATTTCCCAGCCTTTCACAGTTGTTACTCTAATGCATGCTATCAGTACTTTTTTTTTGACCTGAAGTCTGTGATTAATGGAACTGTTAAGCAGCTTCGCACACAAACCACTCTTTATATTAAAATTGATATAAGAATTAGAAATGCCATTTATAGTAACCAGCTAAACATTGTGGGGAAAAAATGTTCCCCAACAGAAGTATAAGACTTTCAATGAAGTTTAGAGGTTTGGAGTAGAAATGTGTCAACTCTGGTTGGTGATGCCGAAAGCAGTTTCTACTACAATAGTTGCTTTTAATAAGTAATTATTGATTTTTGTTTTAGGCTTAAGTATTTCCTATGGCTTGCTTTTTAATAATTTTTAAAAAGAAATTTATACAACTGACTCAAACACAATAAAAGAAACCTTTATTGTTTTTTTCCTCCCCCAGTTACTTGGACATAGGCGAAATCAAGAAAAGACCAATGGAGGTTGTTAATACAGAGGTAAAGCAAATAATATTTTGAAGGTTCAAATAAATAACTGTCATTTTTGTGTTATGCTGTGTTTAGAGATTCAGATGTCATTTTAATCAACAGTTGAATTGTCTAATGTATATAAATGGAACATTATATGTTTTAAGGTGAAAATAACTTTTTCTTTGGATCATTATCAGAAATGAAGAGTCTGAGTAGGTGTCTTATACATGTAGGATTAGATTCGACATGTTCTTATTTTTCCATTTTCTAGTTATGGGTTCTTTGGTTGAAATCCATAGGAATTTTCTGTCAAGTGGGAAGGAATTCTGAGCAATCTTTGCCAAATCTTTGCCAAAACTATATCCAATCTTTGCCAAAACTATATCCAATCTTTGCCAAAACTATATCCCCTGTCCTAACTTGCTTCTGACAGCCCTGTGTCTGATATAGCCAGGATTACCCTGACTGCCCCTGAGGCTTTCAAAAGACCTCGTCGAACTTTCCATGATGTCAGAAGAACACTTCTTTTAACTTGCATTAAAGTTCACTTGAGCATAGTACCCAAAAACTTGCATGAAGTTTGGAAAGGAGTGTGGTGAAATAGAGATTCAGAACACCACATTCTACAGAGCTTCTGAATCCCTAGTGGAATTTTCAGATATTCTGTAGGACATATTCCTTAGTTTTTGGATGAAAAATTAGAGTAAAACAAAGTTCAGGCAACAGCCTTAAACATCCCAGTGAGACAGGGAAAATTATAGTTAAACTCAGACTGGGACTCTGTTCACAAATTTCCCCTCTTCCTATTTTGAACCCCATGTAAACAAGCATTTCCAAGGGTAACTTCTGCTAGGCAAGAAATGATTGAAGAAGAGGAGTTTTTTCTCATTTGTAGTGCAGAGGCCCAGAAAGACTCCTCAACCCTCACCATTGCCTCTCACTTCATATTTATACCCAGCAGGACCAAATAGGTCTCTGTAGGAAAAAGAACAAACAAACAAACAAACAAAAACCTACATAAGAAAATATTCTAATTGTGCAGTATTTGAAGAATGCGAAGTTAATTTCATAATTCAAATAATTTGTGGAAAGAGATACTAATCCCAGATGTTGTTTAAAATAATTAACATTCTTGTTTGTAAGTTTGGTTTTCAATGTGTGTCAAATTGATTATTAGTGAAAGTGATATGCTTTGGAACTCAAAGTAGACAGAAGTATATATGTTTTAGGTTGTGCTTATGTTACAGCTAAAGAGTGACCTCTGGTTAATATCTGTAGCAAGTAGTAAAAATAAGGACAGATTAATAAATTAATTCTGGATATAATTTTGTTTGAAGGATATACAACTGTTTTAAGTAGGCTACCTTCACGAAATTGGCGATATACCTGAATTTGTGCAATAGAATTTGCGATGTGTAACTTCCAGAAAAAAAATGTGACCATATATTTACTCTGGATTCCAGTATCTTTGATGAAGAGATTGTGCCTGGCAAAATGCAACAAGTGTGCAATAAATTTTTCAAATGTACTTTAAAAAAAAAAAAAGATTATTCTTAGCAATGGAAGCATTCATTCAAGTTAATTTAATGTGCTAATTGTTCTTCCACTTTAAGGCAGTAGCTATTATTATTTTTTTTACTTTGAACCTATGCATGAGCCAAACAGATAAGCTTCTGATTTATGAACATACGTCTTATATGTGTAAAACTCACCCCTTATCTCTAACGAGAAGACTGTATCTCTTTCAGTTTATTTCTTCCTGGTTATTCTCTCCCCTTCTCCTTTCCTCTTCATGCACAGACACTGTAGCTTTTTCATTTATCAAAAAAACAAAGCCTTCCAAAGTGGATAAAAAGAAAGAAATAGAAGAAATCTGGGGATGCAAAGGAAATGGGAAGAAGTGGTGAAAAACTGCTTGTCCATGCCCTTCAGCACCTTCCCCTACCTACCCGGGCCCCATGCTCCCCCACGTGCTCCCCGGAGCCTTCTCTCCCACTATTGTCGGCCTAACCTTTCCTCCCTGTCTAAATAGGCAGTATGCTCTCTTTTCTTACTTTGCATCCCGATTCTTGATGCTCAAGACAGAGACTCTCCTCCTCAAAAGTCTACACCATTGTCTTACCCAGAGTCTGCTCTGAGCAAGGGGATCCTACTTTCATTGCCAGAAAGGCGGGGTTTGGGTTCCTGGCATCCCGAAAGGGAACTCTGAATGTATTTTCCCATAGAGACATCACTTTAACTGTTGGTTCTCCAGTATTAATACCGCTGTCTTAGGTAGAGCACAAGTTAGAAAGACCTGTGGGCTGCCCTGAGAACCTAACTATTGTGCGTGTAATTTTTTTTTTTTATTAACGCCTACAGCAGCTGGTATTCCTAGGTGGTCTCCCATCCAAATACTAACCAGGCCTGACCCTGCTTAGCTTCCGAGACCAGACAAGATTGGGCACATTCAGAGTGGCATGGCTGTAGACGATTGTGTGTGTAATTTTTACTGTGGAGACGTACCTCTCCCTTTTCCACAGCTGATTTACAACCCAACTTTTAGAATTCAGTAAGTTTTTAAGTTAGAGGAATATCAAATGTGACAAACGTAGCCAGTGAATGCATTCCTTCCCTCTTCCCAGAGCACCCTCACCCAAGTCCAGACTTCGATTTAGCTACGTAGATAGTTAATAATTTAGACACGAAGGCATCCACTTGCTGACTGCAGGTCATGGTAATTGGATTGTGCATGTCACCTTGACATGCAGAGGTCTTTTGTGGTTCCTGTCACTGTTCTTCTGTTTCATGAAGCTCATCTTTGAAGAGACATCGAAAAGACAGCCAGTCCTATTTCTTTTTCTCTTTGTGCCTGGATTATCAGGACAGAGAAAGGCGGAACTCTAATGGGCCTTTTCCTCTAACCCAGAAGAAGCACATGGTCTTATTTGGCCAATACTCCTGAAAGCAGGAGGAAAAGGAGGGGGTGGATAAAAAGAGAGAAGAAAAAGGAGACAGGAATAAGAAAAATGAAAGGTGACTGGTGATTTGCACCAGCTCTAGTCAGGCAGCACTGTGAGCTCAGAGCAGATTTGCCTTGCCTCTCTCCACACAGGGCTTGCTTCTACTAGTATCCAAATAAAGAGATCTAGATTCCCCTGTACTCTTGCCTCTACTCTTCAGTCACTTCGTATAGCTGTATTTTCATCTTCCTGCTTTCCCTGGATTGTGATGGTTTTAATAGGGTGTTTTTCTCCCTTTCTAACCATGGTATCTCATCTCCTTTGGTTTGTCTTCCCAGCCCTCTCTTTGCCTCCTTCTCCCTCTCCTTTCAGCCCAGTTTCAGATCTGATTCTCCACTTGCACGTTCCAAGTTGCAAGTCTACTCATCAGCTCTCTCTTTCCTTTTTAATGGAAACAGCCCGTGGGAGGCCTCCATCTTGCTCACTGGAAGCCTCTGATCTGCATGGGGACACTTTCTTCTTCCTTTCCAGCCCATGCTGTGCTCTTACCTTTATGCTTTGACTGTGACTTTTGCCTCCTTTCTTCTTTTTTTTTCTACCTTATCTGCTTTTCTTCCACATGATTGATGTTTCTGTTGTTTAGCATGGTAAGCAGAGTGCTGGGAGCAAAAATGAGCAAGATGTGGAGAACATCTCACCTCCAGGAATGTGTAGTCTTGGTGAAAAGACAGATGTATGAATGTCTCTATTACCAGCTAATAAGTGATTCATTTGGATAGGGATTCAATTTAGTTTGTGCTGAGCTGTTTATTTCAAGTGCATTTGACTTTATCATGTTGCAACAAAGCCGTTTGTGAACTCTGCAAATGGAAGCGCCCTTCTGCAACCTGGAATTGTGGATCCCATAGATCACCCCCTACCCTCTGTCTCATTCATGTAGTGAGTCCTTCAGATTGTGATATCCTTAAATAGTTATTTAGAGTGTAAAGTCTGTTTTAATGTGTAAGAGGCCTTGGTACACCCGATTGTATGCAGAGGAGACGTGCCACTTGGCTCACAAACACTTGTGATATGCTGGAAACTGCTAGGAACCAGGCATGAAATGAATCTTTCACTATTCTTGTTCTATGTGCAAAATATGTGTGAAAGGGTCAAAGCCTGTCTCTCTGACAAAAAGAGTGAAAATTGACTTGAGTGGAAAAGAGATGGAGGCCACCTTGTCATTTTTCAGGCTTGGACTATAGACACAGAGCAAGCCAGCTGCAAAGTTAGCAGCGAACAGTGCTTCTCTCGCAGCCATGCAGTGGCTGCAAAAGGCTATGAGGGTCCCCTATTAAAGTGATTAGTGCTTTCTTACTGCTGACACTCCCAGAGCTGCTTTTCTGTTCCCATACTTTCCTGGGGACCTTTAATTGCTAAACTGCCCTCACCTCCTAACAACCCTTAGTTAATCCCCACTGCTCCTAATGTTATCTCGAAAACCATCATCAGTCCAGAACTGATCTATGCTTCCCTTAAACCCTCCTCAGAATCCTTCAGTGAGAACTCAAACCCTGCAGAAGGTGATCCCCTCCTTCCTCTTTCTCAGCAGCATCATTCTGTGCTTTCTCCCAGTGCCATTCGTATCTGTACCAAGTCAGTAAATCTGATTTTGTCAGACAGTGCTTTTGCTCCTATTCCTTGTAGTTTTCAGAAGATGAGGCATTAACATATGCATCAGAATTGTCTATTAGATTGTAAGTCTCTAGGAGGTTTGCTAGTTCTGTATAGTACCTAGCATTAATAGGCTGGTAATCATGTTAATTCTCTATAGTTTTGAATGTTCCTTATCATACAGTTAGGGAGACAACTGTTTGCTTCATGCACGCCTGATTATTCTGCATTTCACATATGGGTGGGATGTCTCAAATAACTCAAAAGTCATCATGGTGACTACCTATTTAGATTTAGTTTCAGGGATAAAATTAGTTGCAGATAAACCTTTCTGTGATACATTTATTGTCTCTAGTATAATTTGGAGCTATATTAAATGAATGCTGTTCACTCAATAATAAGGATTTATTGTGTGCCTGATATGTACCAGGC